TGTTAAAAAGACTTCATCCAGTCCCTAACAGTGTCAGGAAGGCCAGCAGCGACACCCACAGAAAGAATACCTTGAACTTAACTTCCAGACATTTTATTTGGTGTGTTTAGACTCTGCTGCTACGTTATGGGGCAGAAGCATGCTATGTATGAACTGCAAACTGCAGCACATAGATTATATGCTGTTAAAATTGTGTAGTCTGAAAAAAGTCTGTTATAGATATACAGTTGGACAGCTGCTCTGGTATGATGCAGCAGTTTTGTATTGTACCAGAAGCATTATTTTTGGATGTGAACGTGGCTTAACTAGCTCAGGGAGGATCACTCTGGTTTGAGTGATGCCATGTTGGCGCTGTGTCAGGACAAAGGTTTTTGTAAAGTTTCTCTCCAGCCAATGTCTCTCCACTTGCTGCTGTAATGAGGAAGAAGACAACACGATCAGAAATGTCTGTTCCGCAGCAATCCTCAGCTCTGTTTTTGGCTCTTTGGGACAACTGAAAAGCAACATCTACAAGAACAGCTTTTGAATGGAACCAGCCCTTCATAGAAAAGCATCAGGATCAGCTTTAAATTACATTTTATTCTTGACTGTTGATCTGCAACTTGGATTTTAGTTCATTGCTGAAGCTATTACTCTCTTCCTTTGGTAATGAAGGAAAAAAAAAAAAGGTGTGGGAACATTCCCCAACACAACTGATATCCCTTTCCACATTTAAAAGAAGTTGGCTAATATTGAGAAGGTTTTCCCTTAAGCATCCATTAAGAATTTTCTGCTTCACGCCACATTTGTATATTTATTCTTAGATACAATATGTGCTTTTGTTTTTTGGGTTGGAAGTGAATAATATGATCAAATGAGGAAGATGTGGAGTTGTCTAATCCATCCCCAGTCACCACATAACTTTCCCAGTATATACTTGAATGCCTTGTCTGGTCCAGTCAATACAGCCGTTAGTTAGAAGACACTTATTTGTGCCTTGAGTTGTAACTAATACAAGCTAATTTGATAAAACTGGGAAAAGAGAATGTTGTATTTTGCTAGATTTTATGGGGGTTTTTTGTGAGATAGATTTTAAAACTAAATTAGTGACAGAATACAGGCACAAACCAAATGATGGTCATGTCTGAATGCTTCCAAATTTAGGGGAGCTAGTTCCAAGTTTTCTGGGTGGCCTTTAAAATATCTAAATTTCCAAATCTAGATCTGATGAACTTTAAAGAAGGTTCAGTTCAGGTGCAGAGCTGAACTTTATCCTTTGGGGCTCATCTCTTGGGCAATTAAATGTCATGTAATAACATCCTACAGTGAGTGTTCGCATATATTAGCTAAAATCTTAGCAACATCTAGGGTGATTAGATGGAAAATTATCATTGACTACACGTATGTCACAACTAGGTTTTGGTTATATTCTTTAACCTGTTTCACTGCCTCTTCTGGAGCTGTAAGAGTAAACACCTGTTAAAAAAAGGTACTAAAAAATGAACATGAAATTGTGTCAAATTCAGGAGTGTCACCAGGGGGACCTTAGAAAAATACATTTTTCTTGACCGTCTAGTTTTCCAGGAAATGACAAGCTAGCATATGCTTTCAATTTTTGAGGTCAAAGTTATAATTTTTGTTCGCTAAGTTACATAGGAGAAAACTTTGAGGAATCTTTCATATTGCCAAATATGTAAAGGGCAGTGATGGAAGAAGAAAACAGAGCTGTGGAACAAAGTAGTTCATGCACAGAAGAGAGATTTATCTTGGCTCAGCAGAGCCATATATAAACTTTCTTTTTGCTGGTGACTTCAGAGTAGACTACATAAGAGAGGCAGTTAATAATCTTTGGCATTGAGCTACATCTGTTATGTAAATGCATTCTTTTTAATTTTTAAACAAGAGTCGATGAATTAAAACAATAGTGAATATTTGTCTAAGTATAAGCTAATGGTATTCATTTGCTTAAAAAATTCTTGTGTTTCAGAAATTACAGCTCTTAGAAATGTATGTGTTTTTATGTTTGATTTCTCCAGGAGCCAGTCTTTTAGGATTGCATGTATGAAAATGTAGTAAAAGGCTCTTATTAAGAGTATAGATGGCTTCCTGTTCCGTGGGTACATACGTATGGTCTGAAGACCTGCCACAACTGAAACCAAAGGCAAAATGTCTAGTGATTTCATAGAACTTGGAATTAACCTACCTTCATATACATATTGCTTTAAATTTGTGTTTTTAAGTGAAGGACTAGGAGGGAAAAAAACACCCGCTAGCTAGAAATTTTCAGTTGTCATATTTCATGGATTTCAGCTTTTCATGTTGTAGCACTTGAGCGCATTGATATGACATTATTGAGCTGTGGCTTAGAAAAGTACTTTCATTGTGTAACTGACAGTTGGTAAGAAACTGGCTGTAATAGTTCTCCTGTATTTATAGTAGTAATAAAGCAGATCACATAAACACAAGCGGTTTTCACACTAGAAATAAGTAAAATCATCTGAAGTTAATTTTAAGTGTATCAACAGGAGAATGCTTGCCAGCTCTTGAGTGACCCATTACTTTTACTGTTTCTTTCTGGGGGAATTTGGTGGGAGGAGGGAGACTGTTTATAATTACGGTGTAATAAAAGATGCATTATATATTACATCACAGTGCATAAAAGTCAAATGTATAGGTCATGTTAAAGCGTACATTACAGAATTATGTATAGTGCATTATTATTATTGTAACGTGAAAAGACAAGTTGTTATCGTTTCCTATGTTGTTTTGCAGCAAGCTGTGACCTTTTATTCTGTTGTGTTAAAAGCAGATAATGGCAGTTGAAACAACCTACTCCCTATTCTAAACCAGATAAGAATTGCATTATTTTGTGATTAAATGGAAACCAGAACAGATACTGAAGAGGCTTCAAGCAGCTAGACTATGCTGTTCTAGAATAATGATTTTTTCCTTAACGTATTTAGAAGTCTGCTGCTTTTTCTAGATTCTGGTCAGCTAGAACAGCAACTTGAGGAGGCCAGCACTGCAAGGCGGGAGTTGGATGATGCTTCCAGACAAATAAAGGCTTTTGAGAAACAGGTCAGAACGCTGAAGCAAGAGAGGGAAGATCTTAATAAGGTAAAAGCATTTTGTCAGCAACTCTTCTAAACCCTAAAGACTATTTTATTTTTGTTCATTTTGCTTGAAATAACTTTCAAGTGTAAAATTAATGAGCAGACAACAAATGTGTAGCATGACCTACTTTGTTTTCTGCCTCTTTTTTGAAGACAAGGATGTTATTTAACATGTTGTATGTATGACTGCTGGGTGGTCCTAGGTGTCTGCTTCCAGATAGCGAACAACTCCATGATCCAGGTTGCATGGTGGCTGCAAAGAAGGTTTTATAGCTTCGGATTAAGGTGATAAAGATAGTGGTTAGCAGACAGAGTAGAGAAGAACTATTCCAGACAACTAATTTAATCTGAAGTATGGGTTAGACTATAGCAGGGAAAAAATGTTAAGAATATGGTATTACGGCTGTGTCACGGAAGTGTTTCCAGAAGAGAGATGTGCAAAATTGCCCACATACGAAGATCGGAAAGTAATTTGAAATAACCACAGTAAAGAATACTGGGTTTTATTTCTTCTTCTCCGTCTCCCTGATTCCTTGTTTTCTTATTTATAACATACTGTCTTTCATGGCTCTTTTTTGTATTCGTGTTTAAATCAACTTCAAAATGTAATCAGGTGCGAAATACATTAGCCTGTTTCTCATCATGATTATATTGGCCCAGTATTTTAGTCCACACTGAATGTTGATGTGCCAGCTGTATTTAACACTCTTTTAACCCTTAAGTCTGTTAAAAACTTGAGAGCTGCCAGTTTGTCCAAGAAAGACCATCTCTCTTCTAAAACAACTTGTGATTAGGACCTCTTTTTAACAACCTTAGAAAATGCATTTGAATTTGTATAGATGTCAGCAGTGCCAAGTATTAACTCTTCCTGCTGCTCTTCTTTTCATCCTCAGACTCGCTTTTCCTTGCTTCTTTGTTCTGCTCCGGTTTGGCTGAACATCATTAAACCATTTAAATTGTTGTGGTACCTCATTCATAGTGTAGTAGCACAGATCTAGGACACAGCAAGCTTTGTGAAGGTATTGTGCTGTAGAGTTATCACAGCACTAGCAGTGTTATTTCATTCTTTTGAAAGAATAATTATCATATATTGCTGTTAATCGCTACAGTGTTTTGTTGCCTGAAACTTTCTCTAATATTCGATATTATGGTACAGTGTGTGGAAATCATACTTGCCATTGCAGATCAGTTTTCAAAACCTTCTAAAGTAGAAATTTTCATAGAGCGGTTTTCCATTCAATTAATGCAAAAACTTTTTAAAATCATTTAGCAGTTGCGATAAGTACTATTCTTTTTATTCATTTAAGTAGTTCTTGAAAAACTATGCTAATGACATTTTTAATTAAGAAAGCAAGGTATTTTGATACTTTAATGCAAGTGCTTGAAAGCCTTTGTGTTGAACCTATAATAATGGAGTAGATTCCAACTTGGTTTACCTTGATGCAATTTTACTAACGTTAGTAGTGTAAAACCTGGCCTCTTTCTTTATTTATAGAGGCATACAATCTGTATCGTAGATGCATTCATGAAAAGAAATGAATATGTAGTTTCTATTCACTCTGGAGAAGGTGTTAGATGCGCATCCAAAGACAGAATTGGCCTTGCAGCTTTCTAGGTTTATTACTTAATTCTTTTTTTAAACTGTAGGAACTGGCAGAGTCTAGTGACAGATTAAAATCCCAAGCCAAAGAGCTGAAAGATGCACACAGCCAGCGGAAATTGGCAATGCAGGAGTTCTCAGAGATGAACGAGCGGCTGACAGATTTGCACTCTCAAAAACAAAAGCTTGCCCGCCAGCTCCGAGATAAGGAGGAAGAAATGGAAGTGGTGATGCAAAAAGTAGAAAGTTTAAGGCAAGAGTTACGCAGAACAGAGAGACTTAAAAAAGAAGTAAGTGGTGAGAAGACTGTTTAGAATCTATGAAATAGTAGTTATATGTAAGGTTTTCTGACCAAGTAATTTTTTAATGTTATCTGTAAATCTTTAACTCTATGATTGTTGTTTCAAATAGTACCGATTTTGTTTTCTAAGAATTTGAAGTGTCCAGTTTAGTGCTGAAGATTTCTCTCTTATATTGAAAACCATCAATAGATTTTGGAAAAAAAAAATACAAGAATCCTACGAATTAAAAACGTATGTACTTTTGTAGCTGGAAGTCCAAGCTGAAGCTGCAGCTGCTGAGGCATCCAAAGACAGGAAATTGCGAGAGAGGAGTGAACAGTACTCTAAACAGTTGGAAAGCGAAGTAGAAGGGCTAAAGGTTAGTCTGTTTTGATATTAACACCTGCAAACTTGCTAGTCAACTAGGACTTGGATCTATTTGATTGCTTTCAGATGTAGGACAAAAGGGTATTGTCAGTTTGTCACTTCAGTTGATCCTGAATATTAATGCAAGCACATTTGCCTAATGCACTTTTCAGGCCAGTGTGTTCACTGCTCACTGAAGTATTTCTTAATACTCGATGTTTTCTTACCAAATTGCTTCCGTTATTACTTTGTTTAACTTTACCTGTTAAAAGCTTTTTTTTTTTTTTTTTTTTTTTGTAGCATAGGATGGTTGAGTATTTGAAGATAAACCTGCAGCCTGTGCAGGTTTCTGTATAGGTGTTTTGTGTACTGTGTTGTTCCTCAGCATGTAAGTCGAAAGAAAGATGGTTTCCTCCACAACAGATGTCAACTGATGTAACTGTAAAGGAAAAGTTTCAGTGTATTCTGCCTCTCAGCTAGAAGTTGAGACATTTTTGCGCAAGAGCAGCATTGAACACCAGTTTTGTTTGTATCAATGAGATTGCTCACACATGTATATGTTTTTAGGAGGAGAAATTTAAGTAAGCCAAGAATGTTCTATGATTTAACATTTTATACAGTGCTCTGAAGAAATTAGACTTTCTCAAAAACTCAATGAGAAGGTTTTTTCATTTTCACATGAGGATTGCTGTTCATTTACAGCAAAATCCTGTTCCCAGTGTTTCGTCCAGTAGGAGAATTCTAAACTTTTTGTGCAAAACGTCAGATTAGGCCTATTCTCGTCTTAATTTACATGAATAATGGGGCGGGGCATATTAGAATTCTGTGGGACGTTTGTCACCATTAAGTCACTGCACAGAAAATTTGGGATTTTTTTTGCAAACATTCTTTTATTTTGCCTTTCTTCATTAAATAAAAATAAGGAAATCCATTCAATATGAAATTTGGATTTATAAAGCTTCTGCTGCTGTGAATTCAGATTGTTATCTGAAAATTAAGATGTGTTTCTTCTGCTTTCGTGAATCTTCACCATCAGCAAAGAGTTTGTATGACAGTTTAAGAGGTGAGAGGAATTTATTAGAGATCTATTGAGAATAAACAATGTGCTGATTTATAACAACAGGGCAAGTGTATCAGAAGAGGAAAGGGGACTTGTAGCTTTCTTAGTAATATTTGACAGTACAGTAAGCACACTTTGGATCACGTGCGGTTGTTGCGATACTGCGTTATCCATTCAGTAAAAGCTCTGCATGGCTCCTTAGCTCTAAGTTCAAGAGGCTATCATAGAGGAAAAAAAAAGGTCAATATTTAAAGAAAGAAGGAAAGTTTCTCCAAATGGGGAGAACAGAAAAGCCCATAAATGATGGCAGGTTAAGTGTAAACAGGACGTTGAGGGCTAAATAAAGAGAATTTAGAGAGCACTTTGTAAAGGATGCTCGGAGTGATTGTGGGAAGTTCTTTAAATCAAAAGCAGAAAGCCACTTTAGGAAACTCATGGGGCTGTTTGTTGGCAGGGATTAAATGGTAATCTCTGAGTCGACAGGGCTGTGGCAGAAGCGCTCAAGGAGTTTTTGGTGTGTCAGACTTCCCTGCTGAAGCAGTGGAGATTGCCACACAGCGCATTCTTTGCAGCAGGTTGGTCAGATGAGCTGGATCAGTCTGAGGATGATGCGCAGGAAGCGTTAGAGCTGGCAGGTGAGTCAGATGTGAAGTCACCCAGAGCGGTGGCCTCACCGAGGAGGTTCTGAAGGAACTCGGGTGAGAAGTAAGAGAACTGCTGGCCAAGATGTGCACCCTCTTATTACAGACGGCCTGCTGTGCCACTGTAACTCTCATCCGGAAGATCCTGGGAACTGAAGAGGAATGGGTGTGACTTCCGTAGGAAAGGGGTAGAGGCTGTAGTAAGGAATAAGGTCAGTGAGCTCATGGATGAAGCAGAGCTAATTGGGAAGGAGGCAGTCTGCCTTCTGTCCAGCCAAGTCCTGCAACACCCACCTGCTGGGGTTCTGAGAAGTTGTGAGTAAGTGTGTGGATAAAGGAGATCCAGTGGATGTCATGTATTTGGATTTTCGAAAAAAGCAGGCTCAACGTGAGTCAGCAGTGTGCCCTGGGGTGCATTAAACAGCATCTAACTGTCTGTGTGCCAGGAGATGCATTATGTCTCACTTGAAACAGGCACGTATGAAAACATCTATTTGGATGTCACTCTTAAATTTGGGGAGGAAGAAGCTGAGGGGAAATTATGTTTAAGGTTTACAGAATCACGAAGGTAGTGGATAAGGTGAATGGAAATGGCTGTTTACCAAACCCTACAGTACTACAACTGAGGGGCACTGATGAAGCAAAGAGGACATGCGTTTAATACAGTACTTCTTCACAGAAGGGGGAGTAAACTCCTGGAACTTGTTGCCACAGGAGTTTGTGGTTGTGACAGTGTTGACAGGTTCATAAAGGGATTAGACAAATTGATGAACACCAGGTCCACTGACTATGCGGAGAGGTACCCTCTAATACCTTTAGTCCAACAGTTGTTGTATTCCAAGGGGAATGGACCTCATAAAAAAGGCAGGCCTGGGTGCTGTCCCCAGATAGCCACTGCTTTAGGGAAGGTACTGGTCTGACTCAGTAAGGCATCTCTCAATGTTGTTCTTCACAGTGAAGCTGAATGCAATACTGGAATGGTAAGAGCAGGGAAAGCAATACGGTATGAGTAAGTGAAGAAGTTAATGACTTGGACTACATGTTGCAGGAAGGTGTCAAAAGAAAGCAGTGACCATTTGCAATGAATTTCTGATTCTAATCAACCTTCCGTTAACACTGAAAAATAGAGCTATAACAACAGAAGAGGAGGGCTTTAATTTTCATCAGAGCAATATTATAATACCTACAAATCTCTTTCTGTTCTTCACCAGAAGACATACGTATTTATTGACAGTTTTTAGGGCATTTCGTAGGTGTGCCAGAAGATCTTACACTTGCCGCTTACTTCAGTAAGCGTAGTTATGAAGCCTTAGGTGTGTATTCAGACAGCCAAAATTCTGTTTCTGGATTGAATTACACATATAGAAAAGGTGTGTTGGGTGAGTCAGTTTTGGGCCAACTAAGCAATTTTTCATGCTAATTTGTACGGCTGAGTTATTTTTTTGTTTATTCTCTCATAAGTTCATTTCAAGCAAATTAAGACTAAATTCTGCATGTTAAACATTTAGGTAGCATATTGAAAATTAAATTCTCAACTCTTTCCTTCCTACCTGAGCAACAGCAAATTATTAAATTGCAAGGAATAATACAGTAATCCAGATAAATGATAATTAATAGGATTGTAATAAGGAAGATTGCATCTTTCTTAATATGTTGCATTTGGCAAATATTTATACCATAAAACTTGGGGCTATCTAAGCAAGATTCTTCATATTCTTAACCAAGGTAAATTATTATTACCATCTGCAAAGGGCAACATACAAGCCTTGAAGCAGTACAAAGTAGCACTTGTAACAAAAGGCTAATCTCATTAAAGACCAGCCAGAAGTCTTCCAAGATTTTTAATGGTACGTTCATTTAGGATTACGTTACTTAAATAGTAAGTTTGCCCATGCCACCTGTTCTATTATTGCAGTATTTAATGGTTATTCTTCTTTATACTTAAAGTGCAAAACTTGATGTCTGTTAATGTTGCGATTATGGTAACTATAGTACGTGATATACATGTCAATACATATAGTAATATTTACAACACTGCTGTCAGTTTGGAATATTCAGCTTCATAACTGCCTAATGAAAGAGCTGCTGTGTGAAGGTTTTTTTGTTTGGGCTTTTATGTGTGTCTATGTATGTGCACGAGAGGGAGAGAGAGGCAAGACTTCCAGCGCAGAGTTATGGCATCTAACTGTCTATGTGCCAGGAGATGCATTATGTCTCAGTTGCACCATTTGTCCACTTGAAACAGGCATGTATGAAAACATCTATTTGGAATTTGTGCTTACACCAATTCAAAATATATGCTCTGTTTACTATATTACTCTAGTTCTGTAAGCCACTCTACAATACCGTCCAGCTCTCTCTTTTACTGCACCATCTTTCTTATGGTCTTAATAGTATCTTTTCCATTGTGGAAAAAAATATTAAATACCTTTAAAACATTTTACATACTTGATAGATGATGTTGCAAAGCCTAAACTTCTTATGTGGTCCATTGCCATATATGTGTAGGCAATTTGGCATGTTGGGCAGTAACAAACAAATTCAGTAGTGAACTGCCTGTGCATGAAAGAAAATTCCTATACTTCCTTTCTTTTTGTCTTTTTTAATCTTTCTTTCTCCAAGCCATCTCCTGTTAGGATGGCATCTTCTTTTCCCGATTTACTTCTGCATCCTAAGGGCAGGATTTTACTCTTAGATCAAAACAGATGGTCATTTTGATGAGTTAGAGAAAACAACGTGGTAGCAGCACATATCTGGCTCATACGTTTAGGGGGTTTTGCAAGTGTTCCGCTGACACTAACAGCAAGGCCCAGGTTTCTCATAGAATTTGTCGTGGTAGAACTTCAGCTCGCCTGCATGTTCTACAACGATATTTAGCTCTTAAAGTCTATTCATACATCAGCAAAAGAAAATCACCCAAAGCCATGTTTAATTAAGGGTAACTGAGAGGATTTTAGTGTCTCATGGTAAGAAAGGAGGTATAATTAACAAAATATCTTCGATCCTCCTGAAGGTGTGAGACAGTCACCATAAGGAAGTAGGTTTTCCAGTTACCTTCACTTTGTCAAAACACAGTGTTTTTATTAAGTAATTTCCTTTCCTTAGACTACCTTTAACTACATACTTAAAAAATTAGAAAAAATTCCAAACCGAGTTATACATGTGTTTACATTAAAAAATATTTCCAGACTTGGATTTCAGTGCATGTCATGCCACTATCTCACTTTGAACCTGATCTTGCTGCTCCTCTATGTTATGGCAGGACATTGGGTTTAGTGAGTGCAGCATTTGGTGCAAATGTGTATGTACCCTGAAGCAATGTGTAAAGACTATTGAAATGCCAGAAGACCTCACTAAGAGAGCTATGCAGCTGCAAAAAGTGAAGTAATTACTCTTATTGTTTAAAGCTTGTTTTTCCACTATGATGTAAATGGTCAGTTTGAGTAAAATAGGTCAGGTTTCCCTCCTGATTGGTATAATCCATATAGTGTTTCCGTAGCTAGATTTTAGCTTGTCTTAGTATAGCTTTTTCACAGATTATTTGTGCTTTAAAATATATTGGCTGTATATCATAGTCCTGATTCTCCATTCCCGAAAGTCGTTTGAACTTGTTGCTGTCAACCATGTGAGTGGGAGCATAAAAATCTTCTAATTCTGTGGTCACTTTCTGACTGCGTGCAAGGGGAGTCAGAACGTGGCCAGAGACGTTTAAAGTGATGATCAAATTTTCAATGGCTTGGAAACTATTACTGCATTTGAATCACAAAATGATAGAGAGTACAGTTCAGATTTATGCTCTACCATATTTTCAAAAAAGTTGAGATAGATGTGTTTAACTCAAGTCTATAATGGGATATTTTCTAAACATAGACTTACGAATATTGAGTTGTTGTTAAGCATAATTTTCAGCATTCTTGAGTGCTAACTTGGGGCTGTTTATTTTAGCAAAAACAGGTTGGTCGCTCACCTGGGGTAAGCAGCATAGAACACCAGCAAGAGATCACTAAATTAAAGGCAGACCTGGAAAAGAAAAGTGTTTTCTATGAAGAGGAACTATCTAAACGTGAAATAATGCATGCTAATGAAATAAAAAGTCTGAAGAAAGAACTACGGGATGCAGAGAGCCAGCAGCTTGCCCTCAAGAAGGAGATCATGATTTTGAAAGACAAGTTAGAGAAAACCAGAAGAGAAAAGTGAGTATTGTATGGAATTTACCTTTAAGCTCAAAATGTCTTTTGAAGTCTCCTAGTATGTTTCCAAACACACTACCACTTCCCTAACTGTCGTGCAGACAGATGCATTTTGGCTGAGATAATGCCAGGGTTGAAAATAGTCACCTTTAAAAATAAAACAGAACAAAAAAAATCCACAACCCTGTACTGAAACAGTTAATTTTGCAGCAGAATTCTTGCACTGGCTGACCATTCCAAGGTATGCAACTTGAGTGACAGACTTGCAGCTTGGGGTAAGTCAACCCCTGAAGCTTATGTTGCAGTTTAAAATAGGTTTTTTGACATTTTTTCTGTGTTTGGTATTTTCATCTTTTGATGCAAAATTAATGTGCTAGAGATCAACTGTTGCTTACATTTCTGCCAGGACAGGAACAGTCACTTAATGCGGACTAAGGCTAATCCATGCTGGGTTCCATCCAGTGTTAACATAAGTCATCAGACTACTGTAAGCATAAGCTGCTTTATCTCTTCTGGCCTGGTAATTTGTCAGAGACCTGCTTTTTTCTCTCCCGCGTGGTGAAGCTTGTAACTGGCTTTGAGAATGTTCCTTGAGTCATTCGTCAATAAAAACAATTTTTCCTGTTGGATAGTGTAATAATGGAAATAGTCATAAATTGAATGTGTTCGTTTTCATTCATAAAAAATTCAGAATGCTTTGTAGACACTAACATAGATGCTTCTTTTTGCTGCTGTAGTAAGATAGCATATTAGAAAAAACATGGAGAAGTTCCTGTTGAAAACTTAGCCAAACTGTAGCGAGTCCTTAAATATAAGTAGTAAATAAAGAATTTTTCAAAAAAGCTTATGCAAATAGAGGTGGAAACACTGCTTTTCTGGTAAATTGTTTCCAGCAGGGGAAGTAAATTATACAGCCTAAAACGCAGTGGATGAACTGTTTCTTCCTAGAATATAGCTATTCATAGGCTGGATGTATTAACACAGTAGTTTGCTGCTTTGTTGTAGGTTGAGAGGGAAAACTTGCATCAGCAGCGTGTTTTCATTGTACCACAACTTAATGGTCTTGCTCACCTATGACTTACGAATGCACAACAGGCTATGCTTTCTTGTAATATATAAAGGTGATAGTGTGATACTGCTTTAATGCCATGTCAGTCCAGTAGTGTCTCAGAAGGAGGAATATTCAATAAAGAATCATTAACACCTCTTTCTGCAGGCTAAACTGTTGCTAAGGATCATGCCTCCAAACACTGGTCAGACCAAAAACTCCTTGGAGTCTTATCAGAACCATTCTAATGTTGTACAGCTGCAAAAGTTCGAACTAGATGTCCGTCTCGTGAAATAACAAATGGCCTAACAACGCTGATCTGCTTCATGCTAGCTAGTTCATAAACTTTCTTTCAGTCTAGTTTCTCTAAATAAAAAAAGAACTGGATGCAAATCTAAAATGGGTGCTGATGTAACCATGTGTTTCTGTATGTATTTCAAGTGTTGGTGTAAGAGAATATTTTAAAGCATGAGCAGAAGTGTGTCACATAACCAGAATCCAACCTTTGGCTCTTAATTGGAAGGGCTTCAGCATCATAGGAAGTCAGGTGTCGAAGCACATGAGGAGTGATTCATGAAGACCTGATCTTAACTGGGTTTTGTCAAACAGGTCTGCAGAATCTCATGCAAGTCTTAGGACTCCACAGAAATGCGGAGGTCCTCTGTTGAAGGTGTGCTACAGATTGACTTCTGTAGTCGTTCAGGGATTTAGAAGGGAAGCTTAAATATTAGGAATGGAAGAATTGCTGTTGCTGCTCAATTCTCAATATTTGGTAGTGTTTCTTAAGAGAACATAGATTTTGTTTGTTTGGTTGGGTTGTTTTGTTTCTGCTTACCCATGTTGGTTTTAGCTTTTGTAATTGGGTATGCAAAGCTTTTTGTGAGTCTGCCAGTACAGAGGTGTTCAATGTAAGTGTTGAAAAGGCAGCACCTGGAGGCTTTATGCTGAAATAAGCGGAATTATTTCAACAATAGGCGTGGGGTGGGTGTGTGGTTGAAGTGTGCGTATGCAGTTTGGGAAAAAAATTTTAGTAGTCTAAAAATAATCTTTAGTGCATATTAAAAAAAAAAAAAGGCTTTGATAGGAGGATGTGGTTGCATTACTTCATAAGGGCTATAGTATAGTGTGAATAAGAGCTTGGTCAAAATCTGTGTGTATTTTTTAATGTAACTTACATGCTGGTGGTTTCTGTTTCATTTTTTTAAATAGGTATTTTTTCTTTGTTTCCTTCAAATTTAAACTTTCTTACTTTCGCTATTTCAACAACGTAAGTCTTCCATGGAGAGAAACTGCCTTACTGTACAAAGTGATTGCCCTTTGCTAAAGTCTGATAAACTGCATGCTGTTAAAATTGGGAATGTAGGCACACAGTATCAGGCCAGTGATCTGTGTAGCATGATATTCCATTTCTTAGAATTGTCATTATGAAATATTTCAGAAGAAGGTGCAAGAACCTGTGTAAAATAGATCATGTTTGTAGAAGTTTCTTTTAAGCCTGTCATTTAATGATAGATTTATAAAGCAGAGAGCTTTGTAAAACAGTGTTTGCTGGTTTTAAATTGTGTGGTATAAAGAAGCCTGGGGGCTGGTGTTTGTTTCAGGTCTACTTTTCTCAGTTTCAAAGCAGTAGCGTAAAATATTTCTCCACTTTGTACAGCCGCAATAAAGAGCTGGAGTGACAAAGTGATACCATCAAGCTGTATTTCACATTGCTTGCGTGTGGTTTGCTACAGTTATTTTCCTGATAAAAAGAAAGCTGGATCATGTACGATTTCATAAACTTGAAGAGCGGATACATAGCTAAATTTTAGATGAGAGAAGAAGCTCGATGGGAAAGGAGGATGCCAGGCTTCAAAGCAAATGTGTTATTTTGATCTTCCTGGCTGTCCAAGGAACACCTATGGAGTCCGTCACAGTTCTGTGGTTTGCCGAGTTGATATTTGGGTGTAATAGATTATACCCACATTGTCCTCTGTTTAAAATTTATCTGACTTACTGGGTTAGTGACAATCACCAGTTGAATTAAGAATGTAAAATACAGAAAACTACAAATATGTTGGGCTCTTTTGCCAATCCAGCGCTTCCTTAATCCACCACCATTTATGGCTGCTTTGAGCCTTAAAGCCTTAAAAGAACAAATTTTAGACAAATTCAGAATAAAAAAAACCCTAAACAAAACCATAAAACCATAAAAGCTAAATAAATTAAATAAATTAATTAAAAATTAGTTTGGTCTACTGTCTGAGAAATTAGCTTTGAATCTATGCCTTGCAAACAGAAGCAGGACCTGTTATTAATTCCCCTGACAGCCAATGCTTTAATCTCTTCCTGCCTTTTCCTGAGGCTGCTCATCATATGCATGGAATCTGTTGATATAGAAAAGGAGTGGTGGTGAATTTCAAACTTGGCATTTAAACAGTAACCATAGTACTTTACTTTGCTAGGATGTAGTGTTATGTTTCAAAGGATGCCTAGCAACATAGAATTTCACCATGAGTGTAACATGCTGTACTACATTTCAAAGAGTGGTTGAAGCACTAAATGAATTTCAAATTAGGAATAGGAAATTCAAACCAGCATTACTCTTAACTGGGCTCACTGTAACCACTGACACTTCTCATCTTTTAAGGGTGTTCTTCCAGTTTGGCAGAGTTGTAGTAATTCTGCATCTCAGAAGAAGAGGCGAGGATGTAATTTCTCTGTTGCACAATGTAAAATTCTGATCGGTATCCAGAAAAAAAAACTGTAATGCTCAAGACAAGGTTTCCCCTGGATTTTATTTTTATGGAGTTAACCTTTTGTACTGGGCACTTGTTCAAACCTTTTAAGGCTGGACAGTGATATTTGCTGAATGGATATTTACTGTGTCTGTGGCACTTACAGTATAATTCCATCAGCCTACTGATGAACTTTGTGCCAGTTACCTGAATAATTGGTGAAATGGTGAATACAAGATGCAAATGTCATGAGTCTCAAAAGGGTGGACGTGAGGTGGGAGTTATACATCTAAAACATCGCCGTATACCACTTTAAGGACATTACAGTGGCTTTTGGCAAACAGAGGACCTGCAGCTTCATTTATTTTCAGGTTCTTACATTCATTGTGCAAGATAAAAGTTGATGTTAAGCAGTATCAACCAGGGGTTCTCCTCTACTGAATGACAACCAGAGAAGTGAAGAGTTGGGGGAAACAGCTACTTTGAAACTCTTTCTCAGAAAGAATGGTCCAAACCTGCTCTAGAATCTGGTGATATTAGGAGCCTATAGGTTATCCATCCATTTTTTTGCTGATAGTAAGTATACAGTACCTGAATTAACAGTTCGAATGTGTCCTCTGGCTTTTCTAAATTTTCCAAAGACTAGCCCGTACAAGCTTTTCTCATCAGAGACCCAGCCCCAAGTGCCCCAATTTAGCTTCTGTAAGTTCTGGTTTCATATGTGGTCATTTTTGCCTGTCATTCTATGTGAAACTTGAAATTATAGAAATGTCTAAGTTAAAATAATGTTTCCGTGAGTTTGAGAATTTACCCTGAGTGTCTTAGAATATTGACACACGCTTTGGTCTGCAGAATTACAGCTCCTCAAGGTTTGAAGGATTCGTCTAAAGAATGAAATATGTATAAGTGGATTGATAAACGTTAGCTCAGTGGAGCTCTATTCATTCTGTACTGAAGGAAAGATCGTTGTCTAATGATAAAATTCAACAGACTGTCTTATAGTCCTAAGTTGGTAGTATGATCCATTACTTGCATAGTTTTAATAGGCTGTGGTATTACCAACGTAGTACTTTTCCGTTCAGCTACTGTGTGCATTGATCTTTATGTATTTAAGTGAATAGCGTGATGAGTTTTAGAATAGGAAACTTCCTAATTCTGCTTCATTTTATTTCTTAGCCAAAGTGAAAGAGAGGAATTTGAAACAGAGTTCAAACAGAAATATGAACGAGAAAAGATTCTGCTAACAGAGGAAAATAAAAAACTTTCAAATGAACTTGACAAGGTAAGTGCTGGTTAGTTGAGTCCTGAGTTTACAACTATTGTATGCTATTACAAATTGGACAATATAGAGCTGTATTGGTTATTGTTAACTCTTAATTGATACCAGAAATTAATATTACACAGAAAGTGGTGATTAATATTTGATTTGAATAGAGAGTATTTATACGTACCTGAACTTGAGAATGTGTGCACATATATATGTATGCATGTGTATGTATTTATGTGTAGGGATTGAGTTAAATGGTCTTAGAGTTTGGTAACATTAATTTTAGACAATATCTTAAGCCAAAAGAAAAGGATGGTGTCATTTTATGACCCAAATATAAAAATACATAGCTAATGATGTGATTACTTAGAGTATATTTGCATGTCAATTACTGTGAAATAGCAGGGCCTCTCCCACCCATTGAGATTAAGTGTTACTTTGAGATATTAAAAAAATACAAATGATAAGGCATATTAATTGAAGTGTGCTGAGCAAGGAATAATTGTTTTGTGCATTTAGATTATCTCTTTATTGTTCATTTTGACAGGTTATTCAAGTTCATTGTGGATTAGCCCAGTCTTGCTAAACTTGTCTGTTCTTTTTGTAACGCATTAAATTTTATAAAAATATGATGAAAGTACAGTGTTCTTCAAAGTAAGCATGTTTGCATGTCAGTGTTCAAATTAAAGTGTATTTTCATACCAGTATAAGGCACATACTATATATGCCTATATGTAGGCTTAGTTCAAGAACAGTAAGAGACTAGTCACTTTGATAGTTTTTCTGCTCAGTCTCTCTTTTTTTTCCTTTTTTTAAATTTAGTTAGCTTTGTATTTTTCTTGTCAAATGACATTTAATAAATAGGCATATTTAAATCATAAGCCTATTTAAATGATAAATAAGGAGTGGAGTACTCATATTAGGAGTAAAAAGCAGACTAGATTTAAAATTGATATTTTTTTCATCATTTTGATTCGTTAATATATTTCAGTACTAGAAGAAGCCTTTCACATGAGATTCATTCTCCTAAGCACACCTTCTTATAAAGTCTATCTGATTCCAGTTTGACTTTCTGAATAATTATTTAACATAATGAAGGTTTAGTTCCCAATACCAACTCAGGTTAGCTGTGGCTTTTGTCTTGTAGAATGTGCATGTATGAATGACAGCTATGTGAATGCAAGTGAGGTTAATTGCTAGGTATAACATATTGTACTTACAGATGTGCATTTAATTTCAATTTCCCTGCCTGCAAGTAAGTAAAATGAAAAATAGGGGAATGTGAGACACCTGGAGAATCTCAGGACTGACTCACGCCTGTATCTGTTAAGCCTCTCATTCTCCATGGTTACTAAACAATGGAGACGTTTGGCAGTTTTATCTGAGCTATAACAATTTTTGTGCCCTTGCCTTGCTCTTTTAATGTAGTTTTTTCTGTATAGAACATTCCACACCTATATGGTGCAAAGCAGAAACCTTCGAAGAGTTGTAGAGGTATTTGGAGGCTAATTCTCAGAAAACTGATGAATTTGTTAGAGTAAAAATGTAGTTCTAGTCCTTAAAAATGGCCTTTCAGTACAGCTAAGGTCATACATGAGAAGAGATTCTGGTTTTTATTGTTACGTGCTGTTTATTGTGATGGGTAGTACCAATTTTTAAAGCAGATGCACGATGTAGGAGAGGGGAACACGTGGCTTTGAGTCTGCACAGAGATGGAGTCACAGCAGCTTATACCCTTAACAAGTTGTTTAAATTCTCCTTCAGCTCACCACCATGTTTGAGAGGCTGAGTATGAATAACCGGCAGCTGGAAGAAGAGATGAGAGACCTGGCTGATAAAAAGGAGTCCGTGGCCCACTGGGAGGCCCAGATTACCGAGATCATCCAATGGTGAATACTCTGCTCTAATGTCATTGCAGAATCTCCTCAGTATGTGGCAGGGCTGTTACTGAGCTTTTGGCTTTGCACATGGCACTTGCAAGTGCTTAGGTGAAATCTCACACCCGTCTGGGATTCTGCTGTATTTTTGCTTGAGATTTTAATAATATCCAAATCCAGAAAGTTGTGTTCCTCCTTAAGAGCGAAAGTGTCTTACCAAATACAACTTTTTTAAGTGCAGAAGAATGATGGCCATTGGGTGTGGCTTGTGGCTTTGGAAGAATGCTGGTAGGAGTCATGTGCTGAGCTCACGCCTCCAAGAGGGAACAAGCCTGGGAAAAGCAGTGGCTGAGAGCGTTTGTGTCTCGGCGTTAATTTCCTTCATCTGCTTGGCATGTGGCAGAATGAAACAAATACAGTGTAACTTTTATGTGATTTTTTACAAGGAGGGCATGGGAGACTACCACAAAGCCAGTCAAGTGATGTTTCTAATAATGCTTTTGCTAAATGATGACGTTATGTTTCTCAAGTCTTCCGTCCAGTTCTAATAAATTAAGGAAGAAAAAAACCAAGTTGAAACTATTAAGAGGAAAAGGTTGTTTCATCTAGGTGGCCTTTATTTTTCCTCTCCATGCCTGCTTCTCTTCCCTCCCCTTTTATGGTTCATTGCAGTGTTTAGCATCTACAAAAACAGTTTGCATCCAGGCATTTTTTTTAATAGATCATCCACTTCTGGGAAGATTTCATCATCATATACTAATCTTTTTTTGGTTTACTACTTGATTGCCCGCCCCCCCCTTCCCTGTCTCACGTTAGTGAAAAAGTCTAATTTGTTGTGTCAAAGCAAAAATGGGAAACATTTGTTTTAATGAAACCTAGTTTGGTATTGTTGTAATGTCAGTGTAATTTTGTTGTCGAAATACAGAGAAGTTTGGCTTTTGAATGTATCCATATGAATATGTAACAAGAAGGAAGGGCTGTCCTCTGGGTTTCTGGAAGTGTTTTAAACAGTGTTCGTTACATAAAATTATGTAACGCCGATCTGTGTTATGAAGTCCATAGTGTCTCAAGGCATTGTATTCGTAGCGGAGGTTAAAAAATTTAAAGGGTCCACTTTGTGCGTGTTCCTTTTAAATCTTGTCTCTCATAACTGTGAGTGTAGTAGACAGCCTGCATCACAGAAATTTAAAAAAAAAAAAAAAAAACAAAAACCAA